TTACCTGGGAGAACATTAGCTTTACATACTCCTATCGTATTTCGTTTCATTGCAATGATTACATTCCCCTCCATGCATTATCAAACAACCAAAGGGTACACCCCTCAAGCCTGCCATCCAGTAGCCAGCACACAGACCCTCTCCCTCCCTGAGTCCAGAGTCCCCAGCTGCTCCATACCTCCACACCATCATCTCTACCTCCATTTCTGGCGTCACTGCTTCTCTGGGTAGGGCCCCACACTCCACAACTCTCCCTTGATGGTCCCAGGGGCCTCCACTCCTGTACTACAAAATCAACCACTCCCTTCCTTTTGTTATAAAATGTCTGCCTCTACATTTCCAACCCTCACAGTCAGCCCTGATAGCAATTATTTACTATTGTACCACAAGAGTCTTATCCTCACCAAAGGTTGATTTTTAAGAAGTAGGTAGATCACCAGAACTCTTTTGTGAGATGCCTCCAGTGGACTTGAACTATCAGAACAGCATAAGTCAGTGGGAACAGCATCTTGATAATCAGGATCTGAGAGAGAGCACTCTTCATGATAGGCAAGGAGGGGCTTAGTGAGGAAGGAGGAAGTTAGAGGACTATTGTATAGGGTGAGGATCATTTCCTTCTCTTCAGACTGTTAATCAGTCCCTTTGTGTCTGGGGAGCGTCTTGACAGTTGTCTTCCTCACAGCACTGAGAGTTGAACACGTCTTACCTGCTGGCTCACAGACTGCTGGCATGGAGGCCCTGGCTTGGCTGGTCCTTCTCTTGTTGCTCCTGGAAGGTGAGTGAGACTACCTATTCCTACATGTGTTTCTCCTTCCCCATCTGTCTTCTTGCTCTGCTGGGTCCTGGGTCAGTCAGGTCCTTCTTTGGGGGCTAAATGCTTGAGCTCTTCTGGAATAATGAGGAGTAGGATGTGACTTCAGGGCAGGACCAAAAGATGAATAAACCTGGGGATAGAAAAAGGGAAGCAGCCCAGGGGAGCAGAAGGGGAAGGTAAAATTTGGGAGGTGAGTCACAGATGGAAGACAACCTCTGGTATGTACTTAACTTAGATGCAGCAGAATGCTAGAGTCAGAAGAGACAGGTGGAGGACAGGATGAAGCACTAAAACAATCTTTTCCCTTGAGACCATAGTCCTCTGGCCTGGCACACAACCCAGACAAATACTGGGTTGTTTCCCGTCTCTTTTCTTCCTCTATCTGCAGTCAAAGGGGACTCTGGAGATGGTATGGATCCAGAGGAAGTGGTGGCTATCCTTCAGGAGTCCATCAGTCTTCCCCTGGAGATACCATCACATGAAGAGGTTGAGAGTATCTGCTGGTTCTCCCACATACCACTTGCAATTGTGGTGGCAGGGAAAGAGGGAAACCCAGCTGTCATTACTGTGACCAACCCACGCTACCAGGGCCGAGTGAGCTTTCTGGACCCCCGATACTCCCTGCAGATCAACAATCTGAGCTGGGAGGATGCAGGACCTTACCAAGCCCAAGTCAACCTAAGGACATCCCAGATCTCTGTCATGCAGCATTACAATCTACGTCTGTACCGTAAGTTTATACTGGGAGCCATGCACTATTTTGTCTGTCTCTCCTGGGGTCCGATAACTCTAGGTTGTGGTTTGAGGAGCTGGGATTGGGAGAGGGACAGTCTCCAGCCTGCCCAACCTCAGTCTCTGAGCTACAACCACCAAAGTGAACTGTGGCAAGGAGGCCCTAGGGCACTAAGGTGCCTTCAGGCAGGTGTGCTGCACAGTGAGAGGTACAGGGCTTCATGCATAGACCCTCCAGGAGCCCAGGTGTCAGTGCAGTGTATTCTCAGGGAAAGAACTTACCTTCTTCCCTTGTGTCTCTGCTTTTCTCTATCAGTGAGATTTTTGCAGCCTGCTGATGCACATAACCTCCATTCTTGAGCCTTTCATACCCAAGGGTGGTTTGAGGGGTACAAGGGCACTAGTCCTGGTGTGGCACTGTGGGCTAATGCGTCAGACTGCAAAGCCATTTGAACTGCAAGGTCAGTGGTTCAAGCTCACCAGCTGCTCCTTGGAAACCCTATACAGGGTCACTATGGGTTGGAATCAACTCGACGGCACTTAACAACAACAACAGGGCACTAATACACCACTCATCTGTCATTTGTTGCACGGTGGTGATTGGCATGTTGCTATGATTCTGAAAGCTATGCCACAGGTATTTTAAATACTAGCAGGGTCACCCACAATAGACAGGTTTCAGCTGAGCTTCCAGATGAAGAAGAAAGGGTGGACTACTTCTGAATATTTAGTCACTGAAAACCTTATGCATAGCAGTGGAACACTGTCAGCACAGAATATTGAATATTGAAACATGATGAAGAGTACAGCATATTGCCAGATATAGTGCTAGGGAATGAGCTCCTCAAATTGGAAGGCACTCAAAATGCAACTGGAGAAGAGCTGCCTCCTCAAAGTAGAGTTGACCATGATGACACTAATGAAATAAATCCTTCAGGACCTTCATTTGCTAATGGGATACAATTCAAAATGATGAGAAACCGCTGTAAACAACCATTAATAATCAGACCATGGAATGCATGAAATATGAACCTAAGAAAATTGGAAATTGTCAAAAATGAAAAGGAATGCATAAACATCAATATCCTAGGTATTAGTGAGCTGAAATGGACTGGTATTGGCTATTTTGAATCTGACAATCACATGGTTTACTATGCCTGGAAGGCAAACTGAAAAGGGATGGCATCATATTCATCATTAAGAAGAACATATCAAGATATATCTTGAAGTACAACACTGTCTGTGATAGGGTAATATCCATATGTCTACAAGGAAGACCAGTTAATTCCATGATTATTCAAATGTATGCACCTACCACTAAAGCCAATGATGATGAAATTGAAGAATTCTACCAACTTATTCAATCTGAAATTGTTCAAACATGCAATCAGGATGTATTGATAATTGCTGGTGATTGGAATGCAAAGGTGGGAAACAAAAAGGAAGGCTCAGTAGTTGAAAAATATTGCCTTGGTGTTAGAAATGATGCTGGACATTGTATGATAGAATTTTGCAAGACCAATGATGTCTTCATTGCAAATACCTTTTTTAAATAACATAAAAGACAACTGTACACATGAACCTCACCAGATGGAATACACAGAAATAAAATGACTACATCTGTGGAAAAAGATGGTAGAAAAGCTCCATATTATCAGCCAAAACAAGGTCAGGAGCAGACTGTGGAACAGACCATCAATTGCTCATATGCAAGTTCAGGCTGAAGCTGAAGAAAATTAAAACAAGTCCACAAGAGCCAAAAAATGACCTTGACCATATCCCACCTGAATTTGGAGATCATCTTAAGAACATATTTGATGCATTAGACACTAAAAACTGAAGACCAGAAGAGTTGTGGGATGACATTATGAATGTCATACAGGAAGAAAGATAAAGGCCATTAAGAAGACACGAAATAAGGAAAAGATCAAAATGGATATCAGAAGAGACTCTAAAATTTACTCTCCAGCTTAGAGATGCTAAAGCAAATGGAAGAAATGAGGAGGTAAAAGAGCTCAATAGAAAATTTCAAAGGGTAACTTGAGAAGATAAAGTCAAATATTATAATGACATGTGCAAAGACCTGGAGTTAGAAAACCAAAAGGGAAGAACACACTCAGCATTTCTCAAGCTGAGGGAACTGAAGAGAAAAATCAGGCCTCGACTTACAATACTGAAGGATTCTATAGACAAAAAGGATTCTATAGAAGTTGTCAAGGACTTCATTCTTCTTGGATCAACTATCAACACTCACAGAAGCAGCAGTCAAGCAATCAAATGACGTATTGCATTAGGCAAATCTGCTGCACAAGACCCTTTGACAGTGTTGAAGAGCAAAGATGTCAGCTTGAGGACTAAGATGCATCTGACCCATGCTATGATATTTTCAATAACCTCATATGCATGCAAAAGCTGGACAGTGAATAAAGGAGACCATAGAAGAATTGATGTTTTTGAGTTATGGTGTTGGAGGGGAATAGTGAAAGTGCCATAGGCTGCCAAAATAACCAATAGATCCATTTTGGAAGAAGTACAGCCCGAGTGCTCCTTGGAGTCCAAGATGGCCACACTTCATCTCTCATACTTTGGACATATTGTCAGGAGGGACCAGTGGTTGGAGAAGGATATCATGTTTGGTAAGGTGGAGGGTCAGAGAAAAAGAGGAAGACCTCCAACAGATAGATTGGCCAAGTGGTAGCATCAATGGACTCAAGTGTGGCAACAGTAATGAGGTTGGCCCGGGATCAGGCAGTGTTTCATTCTGCTGTGCATAAGGTTGCTATGGGTCGGTACTGACTCAATGGCACCTAACAACAACAACAACAACAATAGACAAAATATTGAATAATGCAGAAAGCCTCAAAAGAAGTTGGAAAGAATACAGTCACTGTACCAAAAAGAAATGGTGATGTTCAACCATTTTAAGAGCTAGCATATGATCAACAGCCAATGATCTGAAAGGAGAAGTCCAAGGTGCATTGAAGGCATTGGCAAAGAACAAGGCACCAGGAATTGATGGAATACAAATTGAAGTCTTTCAAGAAAGTGAGGCAGTACTGAAGGAAGGCACTCACTCATCTATGCCAAGAAATTTGGAAGACAACTACCTGGCCACCTGACAGGAAGAGATCTGTATTTGTGCCCATTACAAAAAGAGGTGATCCAACAAAATGTGGAAATTATTGAACAATATCATTAATATCTCATGCAAGCAAAATTTTGTTAAAGATAATTCCAAAGTGGCTGCAACCATACATTGACAGAAAACTTCCAGAGGGTCAAATTGGACATGGAATGAAGGATGTTATTGCCAGCGTCAGGTGGATCTTGACTAGAAGCAGAGAGTACCTAAAAGATGTTTACCTGTGCTTTATTGACTATGCAAAGGCTTTCAATTGTATGGGCCATGACAAGCTATGGACAACATTGCGAAGAATGAGTATTCCAGAACACTTAAATTTTGCTCATGAGGAACCTGCACATAGACCAAGAGGCAGTTGTTCCAACAGAATAAGGGAGCACTGAATGGTTTAAAATTAGGAAAGGTATGCACCAGGGTTGCGTTCTTTCACCATACTTATTCATTGTGTATGCTGAGCAAATAATCTGAGAAGCTGGATTGTATGAAGAAACACATAGCATCAGGATTGGAGGAAGACTCATTAGCAGCCTGTGATATGCAGATGATAGAGAATCTTGCATGCTGAAAGTGAAGAGGATTTAAAATACTGATGAAGATCAAAGACCACAACCTTTGATATGGGTTTCACTTCAATGTAAAGAAAACAATAATTCCCACCACTGGACCAATAAACAACATCCATATAAATGGAGCAAAGATTGAAGTTGTCAAAGATTTTATTTTGCTCTGAGCAACCATCAACACTTGTGGAAGCAGCAGTCAAGATATCAAACGATGTATTGCCCTTGGCAAATCTGCTGCACAACACCTCTTTAGAGTGTTGAAGAGCAAAGATGTCAGTTTGAGGACTAAGATGCGTCTGGCCCATGACATAGTATTTTCAATAACCTTATATGCATGTGAAAGTTGAACAGTGAATAAGGAAGACCATAGAAGAATTAGTGTATTTGAGTTTATGGTGTTGGAGAAAAATATTAAAAGTATCATGGACTTCCAAAAGAACTAACAAATCTGTGTTGGAAGAAGTACAGCCAGAATGTTCCTTGGAAGCCAGGATGGCCAGACCTCATCTCTCATACTTTGTACATATGAGAGGGACCAGTTCCTGGAGAAGGATATCATGTTTGGTAAAGTGGAGGGTCAGAGAAAAATAGGAAGAACCCCCAACAAGATGGATTGGCACAGTGACAGCAGCAATGGGCTCACATGTAACAATGATTGTGATGTTAGTGCACTGCAAGACTGGGCAGTGTTTCATTCTGTTGTGCATAAAGTCACTGTGACTTGGCACTGACTTGACGGCACCTAACAACAACAACAACTAACAAGGGTACTAGTCAGCATCTCCCTGCTATGATGCTGAACAGATTCTAGTGGAGCTTCCAATTGAAGCCAGACCAGGATCTACCCCCCAAAATCAGTCAATGAAAAGCCTATGTTGTTGTTGTTGTCAGGTGGATTCCAACAATCCAGTCCATTATGCATGAGGTTACCATGAGTCAGGGGCCAATTTGATGAAGTTGCTAAATACTGTTGAATGTGTTCAGACTCAAGGCAACCCTGTATAGGGTTTCCAAGGAGTGACTGATAGAATTGAATCACTAACCTTGTAGCTAACAATTCAGTGCTTATCCTACAGAGCTACACCAGTACTCCAGTTTGATGATATGTTGTTGTTGTTAAGTGCCGTCGAGTCGATTCCGACCTATAGAGACTCTGTATAGAGTTTCCAAGGAGCAGCTGGTGAACTTGAACCACTGACCTTGCAGTTCAAACGACTTTGCAGTCTGACGCATTAGCCCACAGCGCCACACCAGGATTCCAATTCGATGATAGCTAATGAGAAATCAGTATCTACCCTCTACTTGAATACTTTGCTTCCTAGTGTCTGTCACACTGAGTGCTTGACCTTGAATTTTGAAAAGACACTGATTAAAATATAAACACTCCTAAGAATGGTGATAACAGTTTATGGAATCCACAAGGCAGAGTGGAGTTTTGAGGAAGGTGGGGTACAAAGGTGAGAGAAAAAAAAGGCAGGAGGAGAAGGTAGAAGTTTCCAATGGCAGCTCTACCTACCTCAGCAAATGTCCTGGGGATCCGAGAATTACAGGTTGAATGGTGGCTGATTTATGTTTGTGTATTTGTTGTAGGTGAAGGGATTCTCAGGGGGTAGTACCATAACACCAGAGTTGAGTTTAGGAAAACAACACCAACTCTGATTATTCAGAGGGTTTTTTCTATCTTCCCTTCTCATCCAGGTAGACTGTTGGAGCCCCGAGTCACTGTAAATTTTGAGATCTCTGGGGAAGATGCCTGTAATATATCCCTGATGTGTTCTATGGAAACGGCCGACATGGATGTGACCTACAGTTGGACAGCCTATGGAGGCAGCATTGATACAGTCCATGAAGGCCCTGCCCTCAGCACATTCTGGAGACCTGGAGACAATGCCCCTTCCTATACTTGCAGGGCCAGCAATCCCATCAGCAACATCAGCTCCCGTCTGATTCGTGCTGGGTTTTTCTGTGCAGGTATCAGGAGACCAGAGACAGTCTCTGAAACACTAGGACACATTCCTCAAGGTCATTCTCTTGGGGAAGGAGCCACCATCTTTCTCCTTAAGCTCCTCTAAGACAGCATATGCAAGCTAGAACCTACTCCCTCTCACAGAGGCTTGACACCTAGTGCCAGCCCCTTCCTCCTTCTGTCCCCAACTTCCAATGATCTCTTCTCTTGCTCATCTAAGATCACTCCCCTGATCTCAGTTCTCAAGAATCAATATTTACAGAGACCCTTGCAAAAGGGCATCAACTGAATAATGCCAACTCATGAACTGGAGACCCCCTCTGTGGAATTTGTGGTAGGTGTCTGTCTCCTCATCTTAACCTAACACCTTCCTCTGACAAGTCCTTCTTTCTTTCCCTTTTTCCATCCCAGATCCCGGATTCCTTTCTGAGAAGGCCTCATCTTCCTTCTGCCTCCTGGTCAAGGGACTGCTTCTTCTCTTGCTCTTGGTAACTCTGGCTGTGGGGCTTTGGGTTGTTGGAGTCCAAAAAAGACACCAAGTGCCAAAGACGAAACCACTCAGGAGAAACAGAATGAAACTTAAGAAGAACTTTGGAAGACCGACTGCCTCTTGAAGACCCCTATCTTCAGCGTTGTTTCTTTCCAGTCCCCAGGGAATCTTTTCTCCAGTTCTCTCCACATATCCCAGGAGGCTCAGGGTTAGATATCCTAAGGATCATGCTCTTTGAGGAAAATCTGGCAATAAAGTCAAATCAGGTGGCCATCACTATGGAGGAACTGTGTTTGATTCTTCTATCCTTGCTGGGTCTGGCTCTGGCAAAACTCACTTCCATGTTTTCTATTCTAAGCAAACCTTCTCCAAGCCCGAGCGCTTTCCCAAGCCTTCTTTTAAGGAGGAAATCGAGCCTAAAAGATCCACTCACAATACAATTTGGTATTATATTATTCGCTATTTATCCCATTCTCCAACTCTGCCCCCCCCCCCAAAAAAAAAAAAAAAAAAAAAAAAAAAAAACACTACTAAAAAAAAAAAAAAAAAACAAAGAAAAACCCACTACTAAAGAGTTGATTCTAACCCACAGTGACTTGAGAGGACAGAATAGAACTGCTCCCTAGGGTTTCTAAGTCTGTAAATATGTACAGGAGCAGATTGCCTCATCTTTCTCCCCCAAAGTGGCTGATGGGTTCGAACCAGCGACCTTTCAGTTAGTAGTCCAACACTTAACCTATTACTCTACCAGGGCTCCTAAAAGCAAGATTCCTTTTAACCTAACTGAACCTGTGATTTCCCCACCACATTCCATACCACCTCTTCAATTCACTCACTACCTACACATGTCTGTCACTAGGGTGACTTCCAATCACCTCTTCAACACCTCCTTCCCTCCCATCTCCAGTGGCAGCTGAAGAGACCAAGAACAAACTGTATTCAGTAGTGGCTACAAATCTGATTTGGGAGAATGACCAAGTCTTAGGCAGTGACAAATTGGGCCTGGTTGAAAAATTTAGGTGGATCATTGGGCTAAGGAAAAACCAGGAATATAAACTTAAGACTCTTTGGTGGGAGTAGGCGGGAGAGACATTAACCCAGGATAAGATTCCGGAGAGTTCTGAGACATAGAAACCTATAGGGAAGGAACAGACAGGACAGTGCTACCAACAAGGTTGTAGAGGATCAAGGATTCAAGATCTTTACTCTTGATCTTGCAGAGTTGTCATATATATGGGGTGAGCACCAGAGGTCCAGAGCAGCTAGTATCAGGAGGATGTCTGAAATTTCACCAGGTTCAATGCACAACTGGAGAAGGACTGTCCTAGGGTCCTCCACAGCTCATTGTATGAGACAGCCTTATATGCCAGGGAGGGTAGATGGGAGTTAACTAAAGTCATCAGCCCAGAGAAGAACAGAGATACAAGAGCAGAGGAATCTTAGCCTGAACAATACCACTCAAATACAGGAATCTAACTTCTTAGAATTCTCCCATTTAGGATCCTGTATTTGAGTGATATTATTCCTGCTAAGATACTTAGGAGCTCTAGGTTCTGCTTGCCACTTGCCTCACAGCTAGGGACACATTATTCAGCAAATATCCATTGAGTATGGTCCCTTTCTACAAGGAACACACAGTTGAAGGAAAGATCAGCATAGGTGTATGTAGATGATTGGTTATGGCTTGGATTGTGTCTCCCAAAATATGTGTTGGAATCCTAACCCCTGTACCTGTGGATATAATACCATTTAGGAAGAGAGGCTTCTTTGGTATGGTAACGAGGTCTTATCAATGTACAGTATATCACTTTTGACAAATGAAAAGAACTAGGCACAGAGAAGCAAGCACAAACTGGGGAAGACAGAAGCACATGTGAGGATCAACAAGGAACCCAGGATCACTGAGACAAGATCTTTTTCCAGAGACGAGAAAGAGACCCTTCTCCATACCAGTGCCCTGAATTCATACTCAATGCCTACAGAACTGTGAGAAAACACATTTCTGTTCTTTAAGGCCATCCATTTGTGGTATTTTTGTTACAGCAGCCCTAGGCAGCTAAGACAGTGCTCTTAGGAAAACATGGCTAAAGCAAGTGCCTTGGTTCCCACAGAGATGGGATCAGCTGGTAACCGCAGGAATTTCAGAATGGGAGTCTGATAGGGAGAGGCTAAGCAGTGGGAGGCACACACCCTGGAATTGCTCTAGATCTCTCACCCCTTTGTCAGTGAGGGAAGGACGCTGATCTCCAAAGTGTCTGTTAAGAAAAAGATTAGTAATTCTGTGAAGGGGCAATGGGAAGTACAGGAGGATCTTGAAACTGAGAATACTTTGCTCTTGGGGAAGCAGGAAAACATGGGTCAGGTATTAGGGCCACCCAGGAGGAGGATTCTGAAAGTAGCATGGAGGAAGCCAAGAGTCAGGAGCTCCTGAACTAGAAAGGAATCAGGTGCAAGAGACAAAAATTGGCTCCTTGTCTAGGATTTTGTGATGAAGTCCCTTGAGCTTTGGAAGGAGTGGGTGAGGTTGGGAAAACAGTCCCAAAAGCACTTATAAGATTGTCAAGTTAATTCACTCTATGGCTCTGGAGTCTGAACCTTTACCCTTACCCTCTAGATGGTAAGGCCTGATGTTGGTTCTTTGCCCCTTCATTAGGCCCTGAGAGTGTGTCAGACAAATAAATAGTCCCACCTCCAAAAAGGCCTGTAATCTGTGGTCCCCCTTCCTCCAACATCTATCCTGTTGTTTTTGTTAAGTGCTGTTGAGTCAGTTCTGACTCATAGTGACTTTATGCACAATACAATAGAACACTGCTCTGTCCTGCACGACCATCACAATTGTTGTTAAGTTTAAGAGTATAAGCCCATTATTGCTGCCACTGTGTCAGTCCATCTAATTGAAGGTCTTCTTTTTCGCTGACCTTCCAATTTACCAAACCTGATGTCTTCCAAGGACTGATTCCTTCTGACAACATGTCCAAAGTATGAGAGATGAATTCTTCCCATCCTCTATTCTAAGGAAAATTCTAACTCTAATTCTTCCAAGACACATTTGTTTGTTCTTCTGACAGTACATAATACTTTCAATATTCTTCACCAACACAATACTTCAAATACATCATTCTTCTCCAGTCTTCCTTATTGATTGTTCAACTTTTACATGCATATGAGGTGATTGAAAATAGCATGGCTTGGGTCAGGCACATCTCAGTCCTCAATCCGACATATTTGCTCTTGAGCACTTTAAAGAGGTCTTTTGCAGGAGATTCGCCTAATGCAATACATAGTTTGATTTCTTGACCGCTGCTCCTGTGTTGATTTTGAATCCAAGTAAAATGAAGTCTTTGACAAATTCAGTCTTTTCTCTATTTATCATGATATTATTTATTGGTCCAGTAGTGAAGATTTTATTTTCTTTACATTGAGTTAAATCAATACAGAAGATTTTGATATTCATCAGTCACTATTACAAATCCTTTTCACTTCCAGCAAGCACGATTGTGTCATCTGTATATTTCAGGTTGTTAACAAGTCTTCCTTTAGTCCTGACATCATGTTCTTCTTCATATAATCCAGCTTCTCTAGCAAGCATGGTGAAAGGATACAACCCTGATGCACATCTTTCCTGATTTTATACCATTCAGTATCTCCTTGTCTGTTTGAACAACTGCTGCTTGGTCTATGAGTATTCCAGAACACAATTAAGTGTTCTGAAATATTCATTGTTTGCAATGTTATCCATAGTATGTTAGGATCCACACAACCGATAAAACACAAAGAAATGTCTTTCTGGTATTCTCTGCTTTCAGCCAAGATCCATCTGACATCAGCAATGATACCCCTCGTTCCACGTCCTCTTCTGAATCTGGCTTGGATGTACTGCTGCAACCCTTTTTAAATTATATGCAGCAAAATTTTACTTACATTTGGTATTACTAATATTGTTTGATGATTTCCATATTCTGCTGGGTCCGCTTTCTGTGGACTGTGCACAAATCAGGCTATTTTCTAATTGGTTGACCAAGTAGCTATCTTCCAAATTTCTTGGCATACATGAGTAATGTCCTCCATGATGACATCAGTTTGTTGAAACATTTCAATTTGTATTCCGTCAATACCTGGAGCTTTGTTTTTCACCAATGCCTTCAGTGTAGTTTGTACTTCTTCCTTCAGTACCATAGAAGCTTCCTCATATGCTACCTCTTGAAATGGTTGAACATTGACCAATTATTTTTGGTATGGTGACTCTGTATATTCCTTCGATATTCTTTTGAATTTACATCCATCATTCAATATTTGCCGATAAAATCCTTCAATATTGCAACCATAGGCTTGATTTGTTTTTGTCAGTTCTTTCAGCTTGAGAAATTTGGTTTTCTAACTCTTGGTCTTTGCACATTTCATTACAATACTTTATTTAGTCTTCTTGAGCTGCCCTTTGAAATTTTCTGTTCAGCACTTTTACTTCATTTCTTCCAGTCACTTTATTTATTTAGTTATTTATTTATTAAATGTTTTATTGTGAATTGTGTGATAGTCTACATGGGAGAACATCAGCTTTACATTCATTCCATCATCCATCATTTTATTGGCATAGTTATCATCCTGTCCATGCATCCTCACCCAACCAAGGGGTGTACCCTGTAAACCTGCACCCCCCTCCCACCACAGTCCTCAGCCCCTTTCCATCTCCTGATCCCGAGCCCCCAGCCCCACCATCTCTTGACGTTGTCTTGTCTGCCTCCATCTCAGGCCTCACTGCCTCTCTGGGTAGGATTCCGCTCTTTGCTCTTCTCCATTGATGGTGCCAGGGTCCTCTGCTCCTAGACTGATAAATTAATCACTCCCCTCTTTGTTACAAAATGTCCATCTTTAGATTTCCAACCCTCTCAATCAGTCCTGATAACAATTATCTTCCAGTCACTTTAGCTACTTACTCCAAATTCAAGAGCAAGTTTCAAAGTCTCTTCCAACTTTCAATTTTGTCTTTTCTTTCTTTCCTGTCTTTTTAAAGACCTTTGACTTTCCTCATGGATGATGTTCTTGATGTCATTCCACAACTTCTCTGGTCTTCAATCATTATATCTAATGCATCAAATCTGCTTTTGAGATGGTCTCTAAATTCAG